TATATATATATACACACTGGAACACTGAAATGTCAAGGTTTGCGGTACTGCTTGTAAACAGTTGTAAAATAGCCGTAGAAAACATTCATTCACACATCAAACTAACGGTGTATTCAAGCTGAACCAGAGAGCATTAAAACCCTTCCCCCACAACTATGTTACTTAAAGATAAATACTTCTCCACCAGTAACCCTTCCAGTTACCCCTGCAGTAACCCCTCAAGTAACTTATGTTGACTTACGCCTTTTGAACATTCCATTTTCTTTTCTTTTTTTTGTAATCGTGTTGTTGAGGAAAGTCATGAATGTAATATTTCGAGGCAGAGTTCCAAACTCACTGAGAAGCGCTGAAATTATCGTCTGCCAAGTTGATGAAGATAAACAATGTTTATAATAGTGTAAATTATGGAGGGTTTTATGCATTTTATATCTTAATAATAAACCTAATATTTTATATCTTAATAATAAGCCTAAGATAAGATTCTTAGACAGAATTGAAAATTATAATGGAGTAAATCCAACAGTAGAAGAAATACATTCCACAATGATAGTCTCAGTGTTCCTTTTCCTTCCCCTCCTGTTTCTTTCCTCTTCTCCGCCTCTCCTCCTTCTCTCTTCTTCTTCTTCTTCCACCCTTATTTTTCGCTTTTCGGCTTCCCCCTCCCCCTCCTTTCTTCCGCCCCCATCCTCCCTTCTTCATGTAGTATTTGCCTAACGTAAAGTACCCTGTGGCAGTGTACCCTAGGGTAGTGTACCCCATTGTGCTGTGATATGACCAATTCTGCGAAAACATGTACATTGATGATCTGATGATGATACATTGTACAATCTTTTTGATGTCTCTGTAGCACACAGAGGTACGCAGCTTCCCCCTTTACAGAAAAGGGGTGAGCGTGCAATGTACGCTTGTACGCACGAGAATGTGGTTCAGATTACATAATAATCTCCCCCCCCCCCTTCTAGGGAAAATACAAACCATGGATGGAGATAAGAGATCCTGGCGGAGAAATAAGGGTTTTTGGCAGGGAAATTTGGTTCTTGCCCAGTAAATATGGACCGCGAGAGAGAAATTTCCGTCCTCATAAGATTATTTTTAAACCAAACCACGGGAAATATATTACGCAGCGGAAAAAAATATAGCTTGCGAAAGGGTGGGGGTGGGGTTGGGGTGGGGGGGGGGGAAAAATATATCCTGTTTCAGGAAAATATATATTCAGTTGAATGAAAATTACGTTCTGTGGAGAGGTAATACATTATGTAATGGTTAGTGAATTATATTCTGTGGCAAAGAATTCTTCATTTATCGGCCTCGAGAGTTTGTACTGTATTAGTCCTACATGTAATCTTCTACCCGTGGAAACTATTCTCTGTACTACATAGCTTATGCAGGCGATGAGTCACAATAACGTGGCTGAAGTATGTTGACTAAACCACACACTAGAAAATAAAGGGACAACTTTTCGGTCCGTCCTGGACCATTCTCAAGTCGATTGTTGTCGAAATATAATTCGACGACGTCGAAACGTCGTCGTCCCTTCATTTTCTAGTGTGTGGATTGGTCAACTACAAAGCTTATGTTCATTAGTGGGGAACTTATAGGGAAATACTGTCTTAAACTATACGCAGGGAAATACTGTTCTAAATTATACGTAGGAAAATAGTGTCCTAAATTACAGCTCAGAGAAGTGATTTCGGTAAACCTAACTTTGGCAGGGAAATCCGGAAACAATGGGGGTGGGGGGGGGATGGCATGAACGCAGGGGAAATACTTCTTCATTAAGATATGGTTTCATACGTGACAAAAATAGAGTAAAGAGACTGGGGAAATTAAATGAGAAGGTGGACATGCATGGGAAAATCGATGAGGAAATTGAGACATAAAGAGGAAAATAAGAGCACGAAATAGTGAAAAAGGAGAAATGGGGGGATGGGGGTGAGAAGAAATAAGAACAAGAAGAGGGGACTGTGGATATGGGGCTACAAATGAGGATTTGGAGAGATAAGAGATAACAGAAACTTGGCAGGGAAAATGAGGATGTAGAGGGGGAAAAATAAGGACATGGGTGGGAATAGAAATGTGGCTACACAGAGGAAAAATTGATATAGAATCTTAAACCAATGGTTTCCACTGGGGAAACATCTGGCCTCCCCTGGAGAAATACCTGGAGTCCTCTTGAAAAACATTTGGTCTCCCTTGTGTTGACACATAGCGTCCCCTTGGGAAACACCTTGGGAAAACCTCCCGCATGGAAACACTTTACCTCCCATTGGAAAACATTTGGTCTCACGTGAGGAAACACCTGGCCTACCCTGCGGAAACACCGGCATTCCCTGGGTAGACACCTGACTTTCCCCCCCTGGAAACAATTTACCTCACCTGGGGAAACACTTGGCCTTCCCTGCTAAAACACCTGGCCTCTCCTTGGAAACCCCCCCTTAAGCAAACATCTGGCCCTCACCTAAGAAACTCCTGACCTCTCCTCAGAAAACACCTGGCTTACCCTGGGGAAACATATCACCTCCCCTGAGGAAAAATTTGACCTCCTCAGGGGAAACACCTGCCTTCCTTGGGGGAACCATTGGCAGAAGAGATTTTAAGTTCGTAGAATGATGCGCCTTGAAAAGTCCATTGGGTCTTTCAGTACTAAAACCACGTTTGGTGAGAGATCAAAGAAATGCTGTTTCCCATATGTCCCTTTTCCCTAATTTCTTTCTATTTTGTCTCTTGCATTCCTGCTTTATAATTTGTTGTATCCTTCATTTGCCTTTTTATCCTCATTTTTTTTTTTAAATTTCGTCCTCATTACCTTTTCTCTTTCTGCAACAAGTATATCATTCTGATCTCTCCTCTCTTCCTCTTTCATCTTACTTTCCACTCTTTTACCTATTTCCCACTGTTGTATCTATATCTCCTTTCACCTCAGTCTTGAACAACCTCTCGCTTTCGCTTCCGTGTTATTCTTCTTTCTTATCCTTCCCACATTTACTCTCCAGAACTCCCTATTCTCACTCCCCTTCATAATCATCGTCCCCTCATTTCTCCTACTCCCCCTCTCTCTGCATCTCCCCCTTAATATATATATATATATTTACTCTTATTCTATCACCATCCTCCTCGCTTCTTCTAATCGTCACACTCTTTGTAACTCCTCTTCTTCTTCTTCCGTTCCCCTTCCCCCTTCCCCTCAGCTCTCCCTCCGAGCCCAGAGTGGTAAATATAGGCCCACGAGGAATGGGTCCATCCCCCACTGTTCCGAGGGCCGACCACCACCTTGGGTATGCAGATGACCCAGGCAAGGAAATGACATTTTCCTGGGGATATCGAGCGTGTTTTCCTGATAGTAGGAATCGTGGTGGGAAAGGCAGATAGATTTACCACAATTCTAATGCCATGTCTTGCAGCTGAGGGGAAATAGAGTGAATAGGGAGGCGACCGGAGAGAGAGAAACAGAGGAAGGGGGACATAGGGAGAGGGGAGGGGGGGTGAACATACAAAAAAAGAGAACAGGAGGAAGAAAACGGATAGAGGGGAGAATAAGGAAAGGAGAAGAGTGGGCGTAACGATGGGATAAGCTTGGCGATAAGGGATAAAATAAAGAATATAGAAAGGAATGAGAGAGAAACAAGAGATTAAGAGAAAGGGGAATAGACAAATTGGCAATATTTTAATTGGTTAATTTGTTTGCCTCATGAGTATAATTTACTGCATTTCTGCTTCTCTGACAGGTACCACCCCAGCCTCCGTCTGTCTCCAGTGTCCTGCGTCCACCACTGCCAGCACTCACGCCAGTGACCACCACCAGAGACACTGCCAGCACTCACGCCAGTGACCACCACCAGAGACACTGCCAGTACTCTCACGCCAGTGACCACCACCAGAGACACTGCCAGCACTCACGCCAGTGACCACCACCAGTGACACTGCCAGCACTCACGCCAGTGACCACCACCAGAGACACTGCCAGCACTCACGCCAGTGACCACCACCAGTGACACTGCCAGCACTCACGCCAGTGACCACCACCAGAGACACTGCCAGCACTCACGCCAGTGACCACCACCAGAGACACTGCCAGCACTCACGCCAGTGACCACCACCAGAGACACTGCCAGCACTCACGCCAGTGACCACCACCAGAGACACTGCCAGCACTCACGCCAGTGACCACCTCCAGTGACACTGCCAGCACTCACGCCAGTGACCACCACCAGAGACACTGCCAGCACTCACGCCAGTGACCACCACCAGAGACACTGCCAGCACTCACGCCACTGAACGATACAAGTTAATCAGCGAAAAATTACATGCTATAACAAAATAACTAAATAATCACAAAATAATTATCATCATGTTAACCTTACAATTTTTTCGGGCAACTTTTGCAGTAATAAACTAAAAATGCACTCAATAATAAACAGCAAATTATAATACAATTATCCGGTGAATAAAAAATAAATTAATTAATAATTCAACAACACAGTATTAGCTAATTGGGAATCTTTAATAATCCACTGGAAATCAGCAAAGAGAATCAAATGAAAATCAACAACAAATAATAATTTTTAAATTATAGAGAAGTATCAACTCATGTCAAAATATAATTAATCAACTGAAAATGCAATTCTATATCTTAAAGAGATGATGTTTGTCTATACTTACCTAGTTGTACTTGCGGGGGTTGAGCTTAGGCGTCTTGGTCCCCACCTGTCTGTCTGTCTGTCTGTCCAATGTTAGATGCCAGACACTTGGAGCTACCCACAACAGGAAAAGGGGGAGACCGGGGGTGTAGGGGCAGGCGGAGACAGGGAAAAAGGGCAGAAGAGAGAGGGAGAGATGGGAGAAGATTGGGGGCGAGAAGCGTAAGGAGAAAAATGGAGAGGGTGGGAGAATGAGGGAGAAAGGTGGATTAAGTGGGAGAGAGGAAGAGAGGGAAGGGAAGGGGGTAAGAGATTAAAAAGTTGGAGAGGGGGGACATGGGAAAAGAGTGGGGTAGTGTAAGAATGATCAGAGAGTGGGAGACTGGAATAGTGGTGAGTGAGGAAGGGGTGAGAGATCCATGTACAGCAGGCTACCCACCCCTAGTTGAAAATAAAGAAGAGCTAGCTGGAAATCAGCAAGAGCTAGCTGGAAATCAGCAAGAGCTAGCTGGAAATCAGCAAGAGCTAGCTGGAAATCAGCAAGAGCTAGCTGGAAATCAGCAAGAGCTAGCTGGAAATCAGCAAGAGCTAGCTGGAAATCAGCAAGAGCTAGCTGGAAATCAGCAAGAGCTAGCTGGAAATCAGCAAGAGCTAGCTGGAAATCAGCAAGAGCTAGCTGGAAATCAGCAAGAGCTAGCTGGAAATCAGCAAGAGCTAGCTGGAAATCAGCAAAAGCTAGCTGGAAATCAGCAAGAGCTAGCTAAAAATCAGCAAGAGCTAGCTGGAAATCAGCAAGAGCTACCTGGAAATCAGCAAGAGCTAGCTGGAAATCAACAGGAGCCAGCTGGAAAACAGCAAGAGCTAGCTGGAAATCAGCAAGAGCTAGCTGTAAATCAGCAAGAGCTAGCTAAAAATCAGCAAGAGCTAGCTGGAAATCAGCAAGAGCTAGCTGGAAATCAGCAAGAGCCAGCTGGAAATCAGAGAGAGAGACAGCTGGAAATCGGCAAGCGCTAACTGGAAATCAGCAAGAGCTAGCTGGAAATCAACAAGAGCTAGCTGGAAATCAGCAAGAGCTAGCTGGAAATCAGCAAGCGCTAGCTGGAAATCAGCAAGAGCTAGCTGGAAATCAACAAGAGCTAGCTGGAAATCAGCAAGCGCTAGCTGGAAATCAGCAAGCGCTAGCTGGAAATCAGCAAGAGCTAGCTGGAAATCAGCACTAAGATTAAATGGTATATGATACAGATAACTAGAAGTCATCCAAGAGCCTCGTTTACCCTACGACCCTCACAGCGAGGATGGTTGGGGTCTACGGTGTCCATCCGGCATCACCTGAGGAGGCCGGATGAGCCCCACGACCCAGATGACCACTCCGGAAGACCGCTGGAAAGCCCCTGGAAAGACCCTGAAAGGCCCCCTGGAATGCCTCATGGAATCCCATTGGGGGATCTGATGGCTGGCTCCTTATTGGTCTTTCATATGGGCACGAACTCCAATAGCAAGGCTTTTGAAGGAATCCAGAAATTAACAAAATAAAAATTATTCCTCAGTCAAGATAATTTTCATTTCTGTTGCCCTCTTGTTAAGATCTGCTCCTTTTCTTATTTTGACCAGAAACTTTCTTCCAGAGATTGTGCATAGGCCGTCCAGAGGTCATTGATTTATATGCCTTCTTTTGGAGGCATATAAATATCCTATACCATATAATATCATATAAATACCCCCACCTATATCCTTTTGGAAACACATTTTTCCCTCCTGATCTAGCTGTTACTTCTTTAATTCCACATTTATCGCCTCACATGTCACCTTCTATGTTGTTCATACTTACTCTGGATGCTGCTCGTCCACATGCAACCTTCCTTACTCCACATGCCTTTCTCAAGCATCATCGTTCTTTAGGTGGATCCTTTTCAAACTCCTTCTCGTTAAATGCGACATTTTTCCCAAGCTGCAATCTGTTTCTCCCATATTACTTCTAAAAGCTTTCCATATTTCTCAACAGTTCAGATGACTCACTCCAGCTGCCTCTTATCCTTCTCTCTAGCCTCATCCATCCTCACATTAACAGTTCCCTAGCACCTTCCAGATAACCCATCCTTTCACTCCACATGCTCCATCACTTTCTCTAGATAACCTTTCCCTTCCGCTGAATTCCCCATCCCTCACTTCAGATGTCCTCTCCCTCTTTCCAAATGCCCCACCGCTTTCTCCAGATATCCTCCTCACTCCCTCCAAATGCCCCATCCCTCACTCCAGATGGTTTTCTCCCTATTCCAATTCCTTGATACAGGCGGCTCTTCCACGTCTGGTTGTGCTAATGGAGCGTAGGGCTCAGCTGACTCTCTTTTGTTTTGAAGCGTGGAGAACTGACCCGGGAGGTTCCGGAGGTGCCCAGTAGAGGAGGGGAGAGAGGAGGAGGTGTGGGACAGGGGCAAGGGAGGAATGGAGGCACTAACAGGAAGAGGAGCGAGAGAGAGAGGAAGCAAGGGAGAGAGAGATCATTGTGGGGCTGCTTGACCATTCGCTAAGAAAAATGAGAAGCGGTTGGGGGAGGAGAAGGAGGAGCAGAAGGAGGAGGAGAAGGAAGAACAGGAGGAGGAGGAGGAGGAGGAGGAGGAGTGAAAGGGGAATTAGAAAGGTAAGAAGAAGTTAAGGAATTATGAAGAGAAGTAATAAATGATGGTCGAGATGGGGTAGAGAGGAAATGGATTATTTTTAAGTTCAAAGACCAGAAAGAGGAGAACTAGGAGCTAAAAGGATAGAGGAAAAAGCGATGAGAATTAAGAGAGAGAAGGTTAATGTTGAGTTGAATAAAAGAGTAGGTAAGAAAAAAGGATAGGAATAGGAGAGATGAAGAGATAACACAGGAGCAGAAACTGAATACATGAAGAGAAGAAGTAGAAACAAATATGAAATCTGTCTATCTGCCAGTCTGTCTGTTCGAGGTTGGAGGCCAGGCGGGTCCAGTTAGCCTCAAGCCATAGTGAATTCTGATTGGATGGTGAGTGTCATTGGGTGGTTGGGGAAGACCCCCAAACATCTCCTCAAGAAGGCTTGGCTCCTATTACGCCAACCTGCGACTCCTATAAAGACTGAAATATAGGTTTGATTCTCTATAGAGTATTACATATAGATAATGAGACGAGAATCTCACAGTGTACCCAAAATTTGCCAGTGAAGGCTACTGAACATATGGCCACGAATGACTAACCATCTTGCGAGATGGGGACTTTTAGTATCACTACTACCTTATTCACTCTTGTGTTCATGATATCCTTATAACGAAATCAGAGTCTGTCAGTGCAGACTACTTATCAAATGCCTCTGCATGACTAACCATCCTGTGTGATGGAGATTTTTTAGCATCACGGAAGCTAGCTTTTTGACACTGTACTCCCCCTTCATATAGTCTAGGGTAGCTGCAGAAATGCAGAAGTACCTCATGTATTAATAATAAAAAAAGAGAATCTTGCTCTTCTCAAAGCTGACACACTTGAAACAATTGCCTTCTCCATCGAGAATTTAAGATGTCACAAGCACTGTGTCTACACCGACGGCTCAGTCTAATCTTCTACTGGACGGACTGCCGCAGTATGTAAGTTTTATAGAAATAATATTTGCACAAAGACATACAGTGTTAGGTTAAACAACTGCTGATCTCCACACAAGCAGAACTAGCGGCATTACAACTAACTACCAGTACATTAAAAAAACATTGGAGGAGGAATAATATTTTGTGATTCAAAGTCCACTCTTCAAGCAATCGAAAACTTCTGAAAGATCGACAGCAAGAACCTCATACTACCAATTATAAATGACCTAATCGCTGCACAGAGCAAAGGGTCTCGAATCTCCTTTGTATGGATTTTTCTTCTTGAGGTTATCCTGAGATGATTTCGGGGCTTTAGTGTCCCCGCGGCCCGGTCCTCGACCAGGCCTCCACCCCCAGGAAGCAGCCTGTGACAGCTGACTAACACCCAGGTACCTATTTTTACTGCTAGGTAACAGGGGCATAGGGTGAAAGAAACTCTGCCCATTGTTTCTCGCCGGCGCCTGGGATCGAACCCAGGACCACAGGATCACAAGTCCCGCGTGCTGTCCGCTCGGCCGACCGGCTCCCCATCACACCATCATGGTGTGATGGGGGGTGTGGATACCATCAAACATAAATATAACCCATCATAATGAGACAGACATTGCAGCCAAATAAGCGTGTAACAAAGATAAAGTTTAATTAGATCTAGGTATCCCCATCTCTGCTGTCAAATCTATATTGGTCCAAACACTCAGGTCTGATAGGAAAGAAATTACTGACTCCCAACGACCTGAAAGCACCAGTATAAAAAGGTATGATTTGTTCAGATCTGAAACCTATATCTATGGGCAGCACAAAACGTCGACCAGACTGTGCGACACAATGGTTGCCAGGATCAAGTTGGGTTACCGTTACCTGTGGCAGGTGGCTACAGGTGACGGATCTCCCAATCCTGAGCACTCCAGGTGCAAACTTTGTGAGCAGGAACTGCGGCATGAGCTCCCTCACTACATCACCGAATGCCCAGTTAATAGACCTTTCAGACCAGTTGGCATGAGGTACCTAGAGCTTTGCAATTACTTTCTTCACTCTCGTGTTCTTGAAGATATCCTCATATTGCACCCAAAAGTTGCCAGTGCAGGCTACTAAACATATGGCCCTGGATAACTAACCATCCTGCGAGATGGGGACTTTTAGTATCACTGCTACCTTATTCACTCTTGTGTTGATGATATCCTCATAATGCACCCAGAGTCTGCCAGTGTAGACTACTTATCACATGCCTCTGTATGACTAACCATCCTGTGTGATGGGGATTTTTAGCATCACGTAGCTAGCTTTTTGACACAATGTACTCCACTTCATATAGTCTAGGGTAGCTGCACAAATGCAGATGTACCTAATATATTATTAAAAAAAAGGATTTGAACCTGCTTTTCTGCGTATACGCCCTAACCAACTTTGCCACTACATGTTCAAAAGTGTTACATTATCGACACCATCGTCAGTGTGTGGAGTGGCGATTTCAGCGCCATCTATGGGTCTGCACTCCAACTCCCAGGTATTTGGTGCAACTCGGACAACGCCATCTGTTGGTTGTGGCGTCGCAGCGGTGACTGGCTCCGGTTTCCTGCGTCAGTCAGAATGTGAGGTCGATGATGATGACCTCTGGTGGGTGGTGTATCAAGATCAGCGCCATCTAGGTTGTTGCTACAAGTGACAATGTCAATTCCCCGGTGGATGAGTGTTTTCCCAGAGTTACCCAGTGTACTGTCCATCTGGCTAATGACGTTTTATGTCCACAGAGGTGACATATGGAAGCGATTGAGCTACGGAGGGCAGTCCACGAACTCTTAGCTTGGTCCTACGTATCCGCCGTCGATCCGAGCAGTGTGTGTTAGCTGCTGATATATGCAGTGTTTTTGAATATCGACGTACCCGGGATTGGCTAATAAGACTTACGGAAGACAGTGATGTGTCTATTGTGACGTGCTGCTAGCAAGATGCTGGAGGCTTCTGCCAGGGGGGTAAGCTACCACTGTATGTGTTTAGGACCCACTGTCTGCGTGTTGCTGAAGCCCTCTGCCAGTATCTGGAGTGCTAAGGTGAGGTGTAGGCACATTGTGATACTGTGTGGGTGGACTGACCCCATGTAGAAGGTGAACTCGCCAGTGTTTGCCAGTACGAATGCAGAAGGCGTACTTGGAATGTGGATTCACTGGGCTTGATGAACACTGTCATTGTGTTGTTTCCTGCGTGAAAAAGACACCCTTGTAAATAAGTGTAGTTATATTTTAATATTTTAATATTCTAATATATAAATTGGTGAAGGGAATTGTGTAAGCTTACTACCGACTTGGTTGGATATAGTAAAAGAGGTCATAACAGCAAGAATCCGGTTACTGGCCCCTAAGTGGCCGTAACAAAAAGTAATGACACCCAGGATTCAACTGAATCCTCTAGCGGTCATTAGGGTTCC